ACGGTAAGACACAGCGCGATCCCTGGCTTTCGTCAGCCGCAAACACATCGGCTTGTGGAGCTCAGCCGCCAAGAAACTGCCGACTAAGTAGAGTGCGCAACATCATCGGATGGCGATTATAGTACACACTCTCTCAACTGCATCCAGCACAACTCCCTGTATACACAAAGATCTAAGCCGCTTGCCTTCCAAGTCGGTGCTCCTCCAGAACATGGCATTCAAGAGCGCGCTGATTTCTACGGGAGCTTCCATTTTCTGGCAGAGCCGCTGCCTCGTCAGTGTCCTGCCCTGGGACAAGACGAGGAGCTTTCCACCTTGGCTATGCAACATGCGCTCGCTCCCACTCAGACCACAACTGTCTGAGTGGTCAGCGTCTGCGGATTCGAAGCCATGTCCCAGCACCAGCTGCCACGAGAAGGAGGCACATGACCTCATGTCAGGAGCAGCGGCGACCTGCATCCACATGAACCGGGGACCTGGAGTTGCCAACAAGGATGAGGACTTCTGAGAACGACCCTCTAGGACCCAAGCTTAAGCAAACAGGTACAATGATAAGTGACCAGCGACTCCAGCTCGCAACATGTAACTTCGAACCCTGGACAAGGCCAGAAAGGCCTGCCCGGCTTGCCAATCCAAGGCTGCGGCAGCCGTGGGAATGCTCAGAATGCGCATCTGAGGCGGGAAAACCACAACACAGGTCTGACGGTTCCTGTCCTAGCGGCCCCTCAGCACATACAGCATCGTGATGCCAGGTAAGCTTGTTATGCGGCCGGCGCCCTCGCGATGCCGATTGGGGTTTTCCATTCCCAACGCATGCCAACAGCATGTTGCAGCATGTTACGATCAATGCCACGGATCCGAACAATGCAGTCTTGCTAGAATTTGGCGCAGCTGGATCGAGTGGGGAGGTTGATGCAGGTTGACAAAACATGCTGTCCACGAGAGCTTCTTGGGCGGGCTTCAGCCCGTTTGCTGGTTCTCGAACGCAGTACCCAGTTCAGCCAATTCTCTGATGTTCGCCGCCCCCAGCGGCAGTCTCCCAAAGCGAAAAACCCTGCTCCCTCGAGCACTTCTTGGATTTCCGGCTTTAGGATCCGTGCGCATTAAGAGCAAATTTGTCCGAACCGGCAACTACCACATGCACTGCGAGCTCAATCTGTCACCTCCGATTTGCAGAGCAGCAGATCAGATAAGTCTTCTGACACGAGGCACCACATATGAGCTGCCAGCCAGTTTGGTCGGCACGGAGGTCGCCACCGCCTGCCCCTGACATGCCATCGACTCATGGATTTGGCATCCCTAGGCCTTTTTGAAGCCCACCTGGTGCACTTCAGCCTTAAACTCCAGCATGTTGGCTTCCTCCTGCCGCCAAGATTTGGGAGATTCCGAAAATGGGGGCACCTTATTTTGGGGCCCTGATTTAGCACTGTACCCGTTTGAGCTGTGGCAACTGGCTGCGGAGCCTAGGCCGCCTGTCGATATCGTTGTGAGTCTGTGGCAGGTCATCAGACAAAGACTTTGCAAAATCCCGCGTCTCCTTGCAGCTCTTCGGCCTCAAGGAAAAACCCAAAGGCATCTTTGTAATCACCTAGTCGACCTAGTCTTTTAAGTTGGATGAACTGGCAGGAACTTGGTGTGGCAGCACACGCTGGCAAATGATGTAATGCACCCACTTTCCGCGGTGCAGTTGCTGCCGGCTGCTTGGTGCCCGGCCCAGACATGAACCCGAGCATCTGCATCTCCTGCGCCTCAGATGCCGGAGGTGAACATGTGCGAAACATGGGCTGCGAGTCGGCGAGCTAAGCTGCACCAACGTCGGCCAGGCTTCTTTGGTCAGCAGTTGACTCAGCCATGCGCCTGACAGCTCGGCTGAGGCAGCAACGCCAGGCGCCACGATGCGGCACATCCCATTTCGCGTGTCATACCTGGCTCCAAGTCTGCACAGCCACTGCCATGGTGAACAGAATTGGCACTGCGATTCTGAGGGTTGGTCACTCGACTGCTCCAGCTACTTTGCAACACCGCAGGGCAGCAACTGCTCAACGAGCCGACTGCTCTCATGAACTCAACGATGTAAGGAGAAAATACTGGGGCCGCCACGCAAAGTGTTGAGCTGCGGCCACACCCGACTGCAGCAGTTTTTCGTGGCATTGAAGCGCATCCTTGCGGAGTCTGGTCTTTCAACATAATTCATTAGCTCCCTCAACCTGTGTCCACAAGCTTTGATATTTCTGATTTCCTGCTGCCATGCAAATAGGCTTATGAAACTCATGAACCCAAGGTGTTCCAGGTGTTGCAACTTATGAACCCAAGGTGTTCTCAGCACCGTGGGCAAAGCACACAGGTGGGCCGACGATACGGGGGCCTTCACCCCCTGTTTGTTAATGTAAGACACAAACATTTTAGCACCTGCCAAACTCCACACCTTGAACCTCTAAACTGCCCTAAGCCTTGCGTACTGCCCTCACTCTGTAACAGTTAGAGGGCCAGCTAGATCATACACATCATACATGTTATACACCCCTTATAACAACGCTTAATGTAAACTGTTCCTGTTACAGGCCGGGGGCAGTACCCAACCTAAAGCCCTAAAGCCCTGACCCCTAAACTCCTATCCTCCCCAAACCCCCAACCCCTCAACCCCAAACCCTTCATTTCAGTTTATAAGAGAGTTCCGGCCTTGACCTTCACCGGCGCGTCCTCACCAACCATCGGTCCGAAGCCCATGTTCATCCTCGGGTCGCTGACCCTCTTTTATCTACTATATCGCATAAAAGAAGATGCAGTTATGTATATGGTTGTATACAACTACTGTAATATTTTGCAGAATAGCAGATATTATACGCAAAACAAGCTCTCATCAACATATATCATATCTGTCTCCCTTTCCTCTCTCTGTCTCTTCGTGCCTCCCGCCTCTCTGCCCAACCCGCGGATTTCTAGCATCTAGCACATCTCCAGACAGCCAGGCTGAAAGGAGATCGGGAAAGGCGCGGGCTTGAAGCACCCATCGTCCACTATGCGGACAATTTTCGCCGTGTCCTTGCGCACAGCAAGACAGCACTGTTTAAGCGACCCGAAACGTCAACACGTAAAGCCGCACACTTTTTCTGAACACACTACACAACCCCATCAGTTCTGCGCCTGGTTTCAACATGTATGCATCTAGCTATCTTCGCCTCCACCACACCTTGCACAGCTTGAAGGTCTTCGTAACATATCAACGCAGCGAACCCCGCCCGCACTTTTTGCACTCACGCCATCAACCTGGTTCAATCCACGCAGGGCTGCCTTCGGCAGCGGATTAGCACCATTAATCATAACAGCTACCAGAATCACAACACACATGACTGTAGCAAGATGAACAACAGCAACAACACCGGGAGAAGCAAACAACTCAGGGCGGAGCATGCCGCATAATATGATCCAATCGGCATCGTCTGGTGGCATGTTTAGCTTCTCACGGACAAAATCTGTCGCCTCACGAGTGGAGCGGAGAGTCCAATGGTGCAGCTGCACCGACAATGAGAGGCGCTGGCCGATCTTAGGATGACGACCGGCAGAGCGCTGAATTGGCTGAGCTACACTGCTGGCAGCTTCCTTTGGACAATCCTCCCGAAGCTGTGGGACATTTCCTAAACTGTGAAAGCCAAGCTAGGATGTCTGGGCTTCGGAAGCCCAAGAGGAAGCAACCGACCCGGCTCTGTCATCCCAAATTCACAGCAGACCACAAGAACCTTCACTTCCTGGCCCTTGGTTCTACAGAGTAGGCACCACTGATAGGATAGAGCCCAGGATCTCCTCATAAAGGTAGGCTTCTCGTTGGGGGGATTAGGCTATGGCTGCTTCGGATCTACGGTGACAGAAGCTCCGGAAACCTTGCGCCATCAAGTGCTGCTTGAGCTACTCATGGGGTACCAACTACTGCAGGATCTGCTGGAATCAGAATGAAAAATGCCGGAAGCATCGAGGCGAGCATGCTGTAGCGGCACAGTGACGCCTAGTTGGGTCCTTCTGTTGATGATATAAATCCTGCATTACCTTAAGGACCCTAAGGTATGGGAATTAAGGCATGTTCCCTATTATGGGTAATGCAGAATTTATATCATCAACCGTTCTGCAGGCTTTCTGGCATGATACGGGCTGAAACCCAGGCCACAGCATATTGCCAGAACATGCAAAGCATCGGGCTGAAGGTGGCGAAGAATCCTCCCTCCTACATTCTTGCGGCATGAATTTCTATTTAGACATCAATCTTGCATCTTCTTATGCCTATATCTTTGTCACTCTACCTGCCTACGACCTACCTACCTTTTTCCCGGACAGTCTATCTATGTTGCTACCTATCTGTCGATCCACTTGTCCGTCCATTCTATGTACATGTCTATCTGTGTGTGTGTGTGTTTTTGCACGTCTTTTGACGGCGGCACATTACAAGACACAACGTGGCATGATGTGCCATGACCTTCCAAACTGAAACCAAGCCGCTCCTCCTTTCTGCTTACACGTTTGCATGGGTGTATATTTACTACACCCCCACCCCACGATAGTATGCATGTATACATGCGTGTGTATGTATATGTACACATATATATATTTATATATACACGGATATATCTGTGTATATATATATATATATGTACAGAACGTGCATACATAGAGCATATCTGTATTATATATATATATATATATATATATATGTTTACAAAGATAGACAGAGCGGGAGATAGAGTTTGGTAGATGTTCCTTTTGCTTTCGCTCCCAAGCCCTTCCAGTCTCAGCCGACTTGCCTTTTCGAGGGAGGACTGGCTATCTCACTCTCGAGTCGAACCGGGCTGAGACTGGTCGCACGAGGGCTTTGTGCCCGAATTCAGCAGTCTGTGCAAACTAATTCAGAGTTTCCTGGGGCCGCTTGACATCTCAAGCCCGCCTGACCGAAGGTTTCGAAGGCATGCAATCTTCTCTCCATCTGGCACACCCAGCTGCTGCTGACGAAGCTGCTAGGCTGGAGCCGCCTGGCAGACGTGTCTGGAAAGGCGAATCCATCACTCTTGATATACCTCAAGACACTCTTGCAGGAGGGTCTTGAGCTGGATGGCTTGGTGAATCCGTCGTTTCAAGTCTACCAACAACTCTTGGAAGCGTGCTCGAAACAAGCCCCATGTCGAGCCTCGTCATGCAAAGGTGCCCAGGCGTGCTGCAGGTCCACAAACACTTGGCCAAGCTCTCCTGCGCTTTGGCTCGATCTCTGATGGCAAGCAGGTCAACGAAATGCCCAGACATGCTCTCGAGAAGGCTACGAGGCATCATGCTTCTTGCAATCCCAGCAAGCCAAACGCTTACATGATGTACTGCTTTCGGAAGTGACTTTCCGAAGCACATCGCGCTACGAGAAAACAAGCTGCACCGAGGTTAATCCCAGAAGTTCCATGCAGGCTCGCCAGGCGATGGTATGTGTCTGTCAGGGCAGCACAGTGTGCATCCATGGTTCTCCTTGGAGCAGGCTCACCAAGGCAAGATAAACTCTTTTTGCTTCCACTTCATGCTATCATGAGTCGCTGTTAATCGGAAATACAGCAAGTTCACATTGAAACAGCCCGCAGGACAACGCACTCATCTGCTGCCACGACAGCGATGGCCAGTGCAAGCTTTGTCGGGAGATGCAAAGTATCAGAATGCAGCGACGCCGGTCTGTCTCCGGACCACAGAATGCAGGCTAGCATGATGCAGAGAAACTCCAGAACGAGTTGTTCAGCCAAGAGCCATGGATCGCGAAATCACATATCAGTTCATGCGACACTACGCCACTACAAGTACCAGATGACCACTACTATGACGAGCAGCAAGTGAGCTTGCACACTCGACTCCAGGGCCTGCAGTCCAAAGCAGAAACTGCAGAAAGCGCAGTCCCAAGTCCAGAGCTTCATGAAACGGACAAATTTCTTCCAGGCTGCTTGTCGGCTGCATGCGCCGCTTCGATCTGACCACGCCTCCGGGACAATCGGCATGTCACTGACTCGCCAGGACATGGTACATGGCAACTTCCGTCTATGCAGGTCTTTACGACGTACAAGACCTGAGAGCTTGAACGCCGTGCATCGGGGCCTCGGGTGCACGGGCCTGCGGAGAGAAGCTGCCTTCCCAGTGAACGCTGTGACCTCCTTGCCTGCAATGGCATGGCAAGGCACCATGGTTCGCGCAGCTCTAGCCTGATTTAGAATTTAGATAACACACCACTTGGCCGAAGATCCTATACAAGAGGATCTTACCATGGACTGCTTCCAAACTGTTCGTGTTCGGGACTCGAGAAAGCCTCGGAGTAGCTCGAACCGGAGCCTGTGCCGCTGGGCCTTGGCCAGGGTGGAAAGTCTGGCACGCTGTACACTGTAAATTGACGGCGCATGCAGCAAGCATGCGGCATCATACTCCTAAACCCGCCAACTTGACGCACCCCTGCGCACGGCAAGCTACAAGTGCGTCGGTGTCCAAGCCTCGAGGAGAGCCTCCATCGTCGTCATAGTACCCAGGCACAGGAAGGAGGGCCTGACGGTACAATGAGACTTCAAAGCCCACCTGGCCGACCTGAACTACCGTCGTCTTCAATCGAAGGGTCCGAGGGAGGACCAAGACAAATGTTCGAAGCTCTCGCCCAGCTCACTCCTAGATCCTTGTGCTTTGATTGAACCTTACGCTTAGGCAACTTCGGCAACATTACAAAACCGACCAATCAGCAAAGCCTGGCTTCTTCTGCGAAGGTGTGCACGAATGTCCAGCTAGCCACTAGGCTGGGGCGTGTCTTGGGTCCTGGTGTATTCCTCTGAACTTTCCGAGTAGCCCCCGAACGGTGAGCCTGCTGCACATGTCCCGAAACAGGTGAGGGGTGTCCCAACGTGCCATCATCGGACAGCGAAGAGCTCCTTTGCTGTTCAACAGCATACTCAGCGCTGAGTGAGGAACCTGACTTCATTTAAAACAGGCATCGGCGTGGCATTGCCCCCTCTAGTCTACGAGGAAACTAGCTTCACGAACCGTTCTGCATGATTGCTGTCATTGCTGTCGGCGCGACCAACACTTATGTCATTCAAGGCCCTGGCGTATTCCGCGGAGATTGCGGGCATACCGTTGATCCCGTCATCCGCTGCCATCGGCGGGACTTGATCTCGACGGTATCGAAGCTGCTGTAGTCGCTGGGCGCCTTCTCTCGCACAGATGAGCAGAGGGGTTCCTTGGTTTACACTGTGCATGTCACCCCACTGAGGGTCAGCAATCCGGACAATCAGCACCCACGAATCAAAGCCAAGCGCAACAAAGCTGCTTGCACCTCTGGCACAGCTTGAGAGGCGGGCTTGCGCGCCCGGCTAGTGGCTGGTGGCTGATGGGGCCTGTCGACTGACCGCCATTTTTTTTAGGGAGCCCTGAAAGAAAAGCCTGCTGGCAGTACGTCGTGGACACTCCTGGTTCATGTCTTGTGACTGCAGCATAGGTGGTTGTTGGCGATTACTGAAAATTAACCTTCTTTCGTTTCAGATATCATTTTCAGACAAGCTTAGCGCGCCTGCTCTCCGAGTGGGCTGGCCGTTGCCACCGTGCCGGCTGTTTGGAAGAAAGATAATCCTCGGTTCTGTTCAGGGGTTTGCGCTTGGGACTCTTGGGCCTCCATGGCAGTCTTATTCACCGGGGAGCTCGAGCATCGTGCAGCTGCCGGAAGAGAGAAGCACGGCCGCCCTGGCCCAAATGACACTCGGTATTGAGAATTTGCCTGGCTTCCGTCGTTCATTCACGTACCTTGTCCGGGTGGTGTCGAAGAGCTTTCTGCCGGTACTGCCTGGCCACATGGCTGTGTAGTCAACGATCGAAAGTGCCGACGTTACATTGTCACATGAGCCGCATGACGAAGCAAGATGCAGCCGGGAAGCTTCTGTATCGATTCATAGCCATCGTCTGGTGTTACTCCCAGCACCTCGCAGCCTGCCGCAAAGCTGTATGCGCACTACTGTACTGGGTGAGACTATGGTTCAGGCCTACATGGTCTTGCACTTCTGCTTACAAGGACGCGTCAAAATAATACAACATCTGCTGAGCAGAGATGGAATGCATGCACAGCACCAGGCTGATTCCTAGCTCCATCCATTGTGCAGCATGCCCCCATGCCGCAGCCCAGACCAGCTGAGTCACTATCAATGGTGTGCCAGCCAGGAGATCGTCGCTGGGGTCCATGGCCTGCCTCCTCCTCAGCAGAGTGCGGTGAAGGCTTTTATTTAGGCTTCTTCAGACAGCCTGCAGGGTGTCAGACTGTTAGTGAGCTGAGGTCCAAGCACTCGACGACGCCCTTGGTCGATGGCTTCTTGCACCCCCCCCCTGTGATCATCAACAGCCTACAAGATTAGCACACTGCTGGGGCTCTTAAAAGCTTCGGCCTTGCTTTCAAATGGTTTGCACTAGCTGGTTTACAGTTTGCGCATGCAAGGGACTGACTCGCTCTGGAGGAAGTTCGATGCCGATGTGGATGCTCTCCAGGATCAACAGCAGGGGAAGCTGCCTTGAAAGATCTTTGGCCACAGACCGGACTGAATATCTTACTCCAGCACATGGCTTCGCTAGACCATCGCTCAGAATAGAATCGATGGACTCAACATTGCAGAGGTCTCTGGACTCTACACCGTGCGCCAGAATACTCCCAGAATTGAGGTTTGCTGGGTTATCCTCCCTGCTGCGACGCCATTGTGGAAGCCCCTCCAGTTCAATGGCCCCTTACACCAAACCGCGGGATCGCATGCGAGAGTAAGGGACCTTTGCCTCCGGCGCAGGCGGCAAAGCCACCGAGCTTTCGGCCTGGACCAACGATAAGAGGGCAGTACCACTAGTCACAAAGATTTGCGCACGTTTATTCCTAGTATTACCTTTCTCACTATATACTACTACTACTACTACGACTACTACTACTACTACTACTACTACTACCACTACTACCACTACTACCACTACTACCACTACTACCACTACTACCACTGCTACCACTGCTACCACTGCTACCACTGCTACCACTACTACTAGTACTAGTACTAGTACTAGTACTACTACTACTACTGCTACTGCTACTGCTACTGCTACTGCTACTGCTACTGCTACTGCTACTGCTACTGCTACTGCTACTGCTACTGCTACTGCTACTGCTACTGCTACTGCTACGACTACTACTACGACTACTACTACGACTACTACGCTAGCCATGGGATCAGGTACGACTTCCATCCCGGTGACAGGAATGTCACCGACGGCGACACATGCTGTGGCCACGGCTCCGTGGAGGGGAAACACACGTGTGGCATCCACCCCATCCAGCACCAACCGGAAGCTCGCGACTCAATCGGCAATGCTTTTATGCAACATGTTTTCCCAGACCCTTACTAATCCCAGACTGTGCTTAGGCGTCGCCGGACCACATAATCTGAGTAGTTCCCACCCAAAGGGTAAACTTGTGTTTCGGGCATCCCTGCCCTGCGGCTGTGGTTGCGCTTTAGCCTTCTGGACTTGGCCGACCCTGGGGAACATGCAGGGCAAAACAACTGCGTCACTCGAGATTGAGATTGCGCACGGTGCATACACCTTTTGCAATGTATGGCATGCATATTTTGGGCTGGCCAGGTACGTGACCGACCTCTTCTTTGAGAATGTGGCAGGTGACCTACAGTGCAACAGTACGATAACGCAATCTACACAACTGATTTGTATTGATGCTGCGGTCTTCAGGTTTGTCTTGAACCACCTGCAGTCCCAACAGACGGTCACAAAGTTGGTCTCGGCCTTGCTCTTCGTGTGCCTATTGCACCACCTTGCAAGGATCTCTGCAAAGAACCACATCGATTGCTCAGGTAACGAACATCCTCCATACACAAGGGCTCGCAGCCGCGCCGGTCCCAAGTCCGGCGGTGTCAGTGGCAGGCTAGCAACAGGGCTTTTGCTTCGTATCTTGATGATGTGCATATTGGTCCAGACAGCTAGATCCACCGGCGCAGACGCGAGGGTTGATGTTGTGTCCACGACGGCATCTGGAACTGACAGGTATGCCCTGCCAGTGAAGCACAGTGGAGCACAGAGGACCATCGGGTCCGAATCTCAGTCTGGACCCTCGAAAATAGGCAAGCGTACATACAATCGAGCATATGCACGGGCAGTTCGCATGGGAGGCACACCCTTTCGGGGCAAATGGAGACCACTGGAATGGTTCACCCCCAGGCACATAGTCCCGCAATATGTCGGCAAAATCAAGTCCGAGGGCACCGATGTGCATTCCTTGCGAATTATGTCCTGGAATTCAGGAGGCCTCACCATGGAGGTCTTTCAGGAGCTGCAAACTTTTGCACTCGCGGGAGCCTATGACTTGGTGCTCGTTCAGGAGACCAAATGGAGACATGATTCCACATGGTCCACAGACGCTTTTCATTTCATACATAGCCAGGGCCACAACAAGGAGGACAAAGTGGCAGGACTGCTAGTCATGGTGGCAGTCAAACACACCAAGGCCGGGGACATTCAACACAGCGCCCTGCACCATGGCCGCCTTCTCCATGTACGGTTTCCAAAAGGACAGGCTCATATCGACATTCTCAACTACTATCAATTTGCCGCTAGTGATGCTGAGGGTGTCTATGAAAACAGGCACAAACTGCTAACAAAGCTGCAAAGGACGGTGGCCGGACTGCCGGCGCGCAACACTCTGCTACTGGCAGGCGATTTTAACTGCCCATTTGAGCCGAATGGAGCACACTGTGGTCGATGTGTTCTGCCGCATAACACCTTGCACTACAAGGACTTCCGAGATCACCAGCATGTTGTGGAGGCCCTACACCTCTGTGTGCTGAACTCCTGGAGTAAACCACGGCACGGACAGCTGGCTACTTTCACATTTGGCAAGCTTGCCTCGCAGATTGACTACATGATGATGCGAAACACCCAAGTCACCCCCATGGCGCGACGCGCTCAGATTATACCCAATTTTCCTGTGGCAGCTTGGAGGGAGGGGGCCAACCATCATCCTGTGGAAGTCAACATCCAGGTTCCGCGGACTGTTCGGCGACTACACTCTAAGTCAGTGCCTCAACCGATACGATTCGAGAGGGACCAACTTCAACAAGACCTCCAGCAGGAAAATGCCACCACAGCGTTGCTGGCTCTACGGGCGGAGGTTGCCAAGCGAGTCCAGGGAACCGAAGATGCCACCGCTGTACTCCTTGAGGCTGCAGCCAGACACTACCCTACTCCTCCGCGTCCTCAAGCACCACCATCTCAGCCCGAGGCCTTAGCCAACAGTGCGAAGCATATGTGGGCTATCTTCAGACAGATGAAAGCTCAAAAGCGCACCGCCAAGGGAATACTGACTGCCTGGCACTTATGGACCAGATTTCTGCAGGCCCATAAAGTACACAAACAGCGCTCTAGACGTCGTACTCGCGAAAAGAGGGATGATCTCCTTGGGCAGGCACAGACCGCAACTGAGAAGGGCAACACCTTCGGATTGTGGAGGGTGGTTAAACAACTGGCTCCCAAAGCCCCACGCAGGCGCCTCCAACTACATAGAGAAGGCAGCATTCTGAACACAGAGGAAGAACTCGCATGGATCATTCAGGCCTTCGGGGAACGATATGGAGCTGGCACCGATGACCCAGGATGGCAACCTCAGGGGCATGTTGCCCCATATCCCTTGGTGCAGGCCTCAGAACTAGCATACGTCCTCAACCACCTCAAAGCGCGGAAGGCTGTTCCACGAGACTCGGCCCCAGCCATCCTTTGGAAGGCCTGTGGCAACCAGGTCGCACACCAAATTGCTGATGACGTGAACTCACAATGGATGCAGGCTCCCACCAAAGTATCGAGAAAATGGTCTGATGCGGAAGTGGCGCTCTTGGTTAAAGCTCATGGTCGCATGAACACTCCTCTTGACCTACGGCCTATTGGTCTTCAGGATCCCCTGAGAAAAGGCATCATGTCCATTCTCATCCAGCAGGCCAGAGAAGAGATCACCACCCTCATTCGGCGTTTTCCACAGACAGCATACATAGCCGGAAGGAGCACCAGCACGGCACTCCGACAAGTCTTTCGTCACTGCCATGACATACGACAGATGACCCAAGGCGAGAGATTGACCATTCATCAACGCAAAGATGGAAGGGCTCAAGCCCAGTGCTGTGGAGGACTCCAAATAAGCCTCGATCTGTCTGCGGCTTTCGATTTATTGAGATGGCAGCACATCAAGGAAGCACTTGATTTAGCAGGCACTCCTCTCTTTCTACAAGAAATACTCCTCACATGGCTCGTTCAGGTCCGCTACATCTTTTGGCATCGTGATCAGTCCGATGTGGTCACCCCCAAATGGGGATTACGCCAAGGCTGTACCGCATCTCCACTGCTGTGGTCTGCTTTTACATCTCTGCTGTGTCTGACTTTGGAGGCCAAGCTGGGAGAAGGATGGACAAACAAGCACGCCACTTTGTACGCAGATGACAGTCACCTTAGGTGGAAATTTTCCAGCTACTTGAGCTTCGAGGATACCATGAGGGAAGTTCGAATTGCCCTCAAAGTCTTCAGGTCCTTCAATCTACGAATCAACATCGAGAAGACCAAGGCCATTCTCAAGGTCGTCGGCACTATGCGTACTCGGGTTTACAAGGAATACATCCGTAAGACTGGACAGGATACACCCGACCGATTGCTCCTTTCACCCCGGGATCCAGGACAATGGCTACCGTTGGTCACTCAGACTGAGTACCTGGGGCTCATCATATCGTACGGTGCGTTCGAACTCCAATCCCTCCGCCACAGAGTCTCTAAGGCCAATGGACGCCGGTGGGCCATGGCATCAATACTTCACTCCAAGAAGCTGGGAGTAGGCTACAAGCTTCAATTCTGGCGAAGTTGCGTCTTGAGCATCATGACGTACGGGCTCCATTGTTGCGGGCTTACAGGAGATCAAGCACAAGAAGCACAACGAGCTCAAATGAGACATGTCCGGGCCATCGTGAATAACCAAGCTCACCTCACAGGCGACACTCACGACCAGATCATGCAGCGTTTCAACATATCGCATTTTGCAGACCTACTGCGACATGCACAGGATCGGGAACAGCAAGCTGCCGAAGAACATCAGGACTGGATGTGGAATGCAGAATGGCAGCAGCATTTACAGCAACAGCTCCTCATCAGGACACCCGGAGGCACGTCGAACGAGGAGAATGACATTTGGTCGTGCCCCATTTGTGAGGCTTCTTTCACGAGTGCAGCTGCTCTAAAGACACATGCAAGACGCTCGCACTCCATTGTTGAAGAACATCCAATCGTCTTCAATAAAGCTTTGCATTCCGAGGGAGGATTGCCAACATGTAGTGGCTGTCATAAGAAATTCTCTAAATGGCAATCCCTGGCGCACCACATCAATCAGAACAGCTGTCCCAACATGATTCGACAGCCGGTTCCGGTCGAGAAAACAGGTGATTTCAGAAACATGCCCATTGCAGCTACTGAAGATGATGTTGCGATCACATTGTGTCAGCAGTCGGACGTGGTCCAAGCTTCCGCGAAGGGCATCAATGCTTTCATTCCTCTTAAACATGTCACCACTGTGCTGAGACAGACATGTGGATTATGTGGGCAATGGTGCTCCTCACACCGTACGGTAAAAAGGCACTACCAGTACTCCCATGCAGACCTGCTACTACAGCTTGGGACAAACAACATTAGTCAACTTGTGACTCGAACAGCCACTGCCAGCTCCACCTGTCACTACTGTGGAGCAACCTGTCGAGATTGGCGTCAGCACCTCAGCAGATGCACGGTGGCGTGGCAATGTGCAGTGTTGGTTCTGCGCGCACGCGGGAATAAACTACTCCCAGGAAATGTTCGAGGATCCGGCCATGAACGAGTTTTTCGGGGAAGTGAAGCAGGAGCCCACGGCAAAGCGTCGACGACCCGAGGAGACGCCCAACAAGTCGCAGATGCAAGCAACGGGAGGGCGCAAGGACGAATTGGTCATTACTTTGGCAAGGCTGGCAATCAAACAGGAGGAGGAACTGCAGGTCTTGAAACAGGATCACTCCTTCATGCTGTTTATGCGTCCAGGCAAGGACTCGATTCTGCATTACCTCTTTCAAACAGCCACCTTGTTCAAAAAGAAGCAGGAGGAGTCCCCGACTTGGGGAGCCACCTTTCAGCCTCTCCGAGTGGTCCTGTCGCTAGCACTCTTTCGCGAATTGGCCTCGAGGATCGAGATGGTGGAGAAGGACGAGGCCAAACGGAAGGAGGTGACGGACATGGGCTGGGTAACACAGGACATGAAATGGAAATTTCAGGTCTGGAACCCCCAACTCAAATGTCTTCAAGAAGACCGGGAAAGGCCGCCGATGAGCACTCAGGACATCAAGGCCTTACTGGAACGTCTTTATGCAGCCATCAAGACCGACATTGTCACCAGGTTCAGCTGCACGAGACGGTTAACCGAATCGATGGAGTCTCAGGCCTCCTTCTACTTCGACCTCTCGTGCCGGGGCAAGGGACAAGAGGCTTGGGAGATAATGCACACCCTGCAGGGAAGTTGCGTCCTGCAAATGATCGGCCTTGCGTACAAGAGGGCAGGTCTGAAACGAGGCCCCCTCACCCAGAAGCTGAAGGACCTGCTGAGCAGACGATGAGGCTCGTGTTCGGCAACCACAATCACAACAGTTGCTATATGAATAGCTTCGTGCAGGGACTACTATGGGCTGTCACGACGAATGCCTGGACTTCCTCGCATTCACTATCTTCGTTGGGGAGCAGCGCTCAATACTTCAGACAACTTCTTCAACAGGTTCCCAAAGTCAAGCATCTCACTCAGGACTTCATGTGGAGATCTTTAATTACAGGATGGCAGGACTGCCATCAGCAGCATGACGTCGCGGAGTTTGCATCCTTTTTCTGTGAACGACATCGCATACAAGCGGTGACAGGAGAATGGGAAGCTAGAACCTACGTCGACGGGGTGGGGCAACCGGGAGATGCGGGGCACAGTACTCAGCCTATTCTTCTTACAATGCCTTGTCAACCGCCGGGGCTTGCACCGGAGCTGCAGGTACAATCACTGGTTGATTTATGGTATGCTCAAGAGGCTACACATGCTTTTACAGCTGCTCCCTCAGTTCTGCTCCTACAACTGGGACGTTTCCGAATCATAGCCGGCAAAATCCACAAAGTTCACACGTCAGTGATCGCCAATGAGGTTCTATGTATTCCGATTTTTGAGAATGCCAACTTTCAGGTGGGCTCAGTACAGTATCGGCTCGCATCCATCATTTGTCATCACGGACAACACCCACGATCAGGCCACTACCAGGCTCTGCTGTATTCAACGAGCGGACTCTGGAGCTGCGATGACAATAGGGGCTCTCGCCGCTGTGACTCCACTCCTGAATGGAGTAAGCCTAGCTGTTATATGCTGATGTACAAACGGCACACACCAGCAGAGAACGAGTTGCTGACTTTAGATTGTGAAGATACGCACTATTTTCCTACTCGGTATGCTTAGGTCTCTCGGGACGGTGCCGAGTAGTGGGTCGTGAGACAACCACTGCGTTGTGCAGCCAATAGTGCTGCCGGGCCTTAGGCTTGCTCGCCATTACGTCTGTCGCCTGGTGGATCGGATCCGCTGCGCTTGAAGCTTGAAGCTGCTACTGCTACGACTACTACTACGACTACTACGACTACTACGACTACTACGACGACTACTACGACGACTACTACTACAACAACTAGTACTCTTACTACTACTACTACTACTACTACTACTACTACTACTACTACTACTACTACTACTACTACTACTACTACTACTACTACTACTACTACTAACTACTACTACTACTACTACGACTACTACGACTACTACGACTACTACGACTACTACGACTCACCACTACCACTACCACTACCACTACCACTTCCACTACGGCTACCACTACCACTACCACTACCACTGCCACTGCCACTACTACTACTACTACTACTACTACTACTACTACTACTACTACTACTACTACTACTGCTACTGCTACTGCTACTGCTACTGCTACTGCTACTGCTACTGCTACTGCTACTGCTACTGCTACTACTACTGCTACTACCTCCACTAAACTGCTACTGCTGCTGCTCCTCCTCCTTCTCCTCCTACTCCTACTGCTACGACTATGACGACGACTCCGACGATTACCATCCTGTTGCTCTTATTGCTATCGCCACTGCCACTGCTTCTTTGCTCAAGCTTGGCTTCCCAGAATTGCCCCTCTGCACAGCAAGTCCGCTTCACATGTTGGGAGGCGAGGAAAACGGGTACTTGGCCTTCTGCGAGGCCGATGACACTCCACGCCGCAGACTGTGGTTCACCTGCCTGACTGCAAGAACTACGGAATCGACGACTGTCTCAAAGCCTTCCAGAGTGTTTGCATGCAAAGAAGCGACGGAGAGCTGGCGGCTGCTCGAACATCTTCCATGGAGTCGGAGATGTCCTATGCAAGCAAAGTTATTTGAGTTAACGTGTTTACTTGATTTAGCGAGATGGTGTAGGCCAAGCCATGACGGCTGCACTTGGTCCTCTGACTCAGGATCCCAACTTTCAGAAGCTGGTTCTGAAGGTGCCCGGGGCGGGGGCGGCGCATCGGGGACGGCATTCCTTGAAGCATCCAGGCGCGAGGCCAGACTCCTTTTATAACACTCCTTTCATAACATAACATGCGGATAGAACCTGTATGACCTTTGACAAGGGCAGAAACGTTCAAAGTAGCGCGGGCACACCCTGTAAGGACTACGGGCTGCTGGAAACACGGAAGTCAGGAGATCCTTCCCGTTATCATCCAAGCACAACCAAGGCAGAGCAGACCTTCATATCTTATGTGAGTTTCGCAACACACGGGACCCTTACACAGGAGCCTCAATACCAGGATTGGATCCGAGGCACCGGTGCCCGCGAGGCTGACTGAAAGGGATGTGCACCGGCACCTCTCCTGTCAAATCCAGCATCATCTCGCTCGCCTCGCTTTCCTGAAAGGAACATCCATGCAGCAGGAACTTGCGACAGTGGAGAAATCCCTGCCGCCAACCTTTTGAGTCGTTGCCGGGGCTGCTTGCATCCTCAGCTAGTGCAGCTCAAGGACACGATCTTAAACCCTTCCCCAAGCTGCAAAGTCTAGCGCTGGTGCGTCCAAGGCACAAGCTCGAGCATGCTGCATTGATCGGGTATGGCGGCGGGTCGGGGTTCAAGTTGATCGTTCGCTCTTGTCTGACCTCATCACGTTGACAGAGCGGCTTGCGTGATTTCTTTATTCCTTGCAGGACCAGGGACCACCTGCTTCGTTTTCAGGCCATTGCGCGATGCAGAAAAGCCCGGTCGTCGACAGCAGTCGAGTTTCAAAGTGAAAACTTGTAAGAATTTCTGGCCTCTAGACCTTGGATTTCATCAAATAAATATTTTGTCATTTTTTTATATTTATTTGTCATTTTTGTAATTTGGTGGTTTTTCCGTTTGTCATGTTTTAGTCGTTTCTGTCATTCGCCCTTCCTCCCTCCGCGCCCCACGCCCACGGAAATGACAAAAAATGACACGAAAGTTACAAAAAATGACAACGCCTCGGGAAATGTGCAAATTTCGGTTTGGCGGCCTGCCCCACCCTCCATCCCTCTGCGCCCCGCCAAAATGACACAAAAACGACACCAAAATGACAAAACATGACAGTGTTAACGTTAACCAAATCCAGAATGACAAAAAAATGACAATCCCAATGACACAAAAACGACAAGAGCAAATGAAAAAAAATGACAGATAAATGACAAAATTCATTCTGGAACCCACCTCAAGCTTGCTGCAGAAATTCTTACAAGTGTAAACTCCTATTCCGGATGCCTCCTCTTTTAGGACCTCTGCTTCTTTCTCGTGTCTGGTCCAAGAGTTTTTTGTTACACAGATTTGTATGACGAAAACAAGTAGCGGGAAGCTCCTTGCTCGCATGATATGCACGGTGCCGGTGCTACATTCAATTTCGTCTCTCACTCGCACAAGGCAGGCAAGGCTCCGCACAAGTGTGTCGGAAAAAGAAGGAGCAAGGTGCGAACGGATGTCAATCTCCATCAAACCCAAGTACCAAACATCCAGTTTAAGTTTACCAGAGACATGCACAAGCCTGTCCGACTCTCTCAGAACGACTCGAACGACTAAAGGGTAATTTGACCGGGCTGCCATGAGCTGCTGTACCGGAGCCGATGGCACCAGCTCGCTGCTGGCGCACGAGGACCTTGACCCCGGTTTAGCGTTTCGACGCTCACACTCGCAGTAGGCAGGCGAGGCATGTGGGGGTTTCGACGCTCACACTCGCACGCAGGCAGGGCTTAGGGTTTTGGATCCGTCATCCAAGCCAACCGCCGGTTGAACAGGTGAATCGTCTATGTAAACCACGGAGGTGACTGTCTCGACAGCTATCTATGCTATTTGGCATCTTGTTTCGAGCATGTACTCGCTTGGTCGACTTAAGAGGCTTACCTCGCCTTGCTCGGACGAGCTGCCTGGCGCCCAGTTGTAGCGAGCGGGCACTGCTTGTGCTAGGCGGTGGCGATGCACACAAGCTGATAGCAGCCATCTCCTTGACCTGAGCTGACAGTGGCTCGACATGGCCATCGACTAACTCGATGGCTCGGATGCCACGCATGGCGATAGCTCTACATAACCCAGTATCAGATCAAGGATGACAGAGTTTTACATACTCGCCCTTGTCACGATCCGATGCGGCAAAGGCTCTGACTCTGGCGCCGGCTGCTGGGCCTGCAAAAGCTGAAGTGAGCGTAGTTCGGATAGGAATAGGATCAGTGGCTGCACGTAATTTGCAGGGGACACACTTCGACGTAGTCTCAAGTTCGCACCTCGGCAGGAGGTCTTAAACGCCCCAGGGCACCACGCTGATCTCCCTGCAGTCTCCTCCTTGGCAGACAGTGGCTCAAAGTCGAGCGATCGGTGCGAAAAACTTGAATGTCCTCTAGCCCTCTGAGCTGCTCGGATACAACGAGCTAAAACAGCATCACGACAGATTCAAAGGATTGCTGCAGACTGCTCCCAACCCGAAGCCTGCCAGCAAACATGACATGTGGGAAGGTCCGGGACCCCGGCGCTCCGCCCATGTCGTCGCCGTGTGCAGATTGCCGTGCCTCCATGTAATCCTTGATGCCAGTGGTGGATGCTGCAGAATGCCGGGCAGGGATGCGACATGCAACTGTCTGAACCGCCAAGCCTTGACGGTACAGTCGCCACAAGCAAAGCTGCGCAGCACTCCTCTTTTAAGGTGCGCTGCTTCTTCATTTAAGCATCGGCCTTTCTCAGTCAAGCATCTCGGGCGGCTTGCAGCTGTGTGAACTGGTCGTGGCTTCCACCTTTGTCCGGATGGCGTTTTAGAGCGCCACGCCGGTACTGCCTCAGGAGCCGTCTTAGATGCGGCTAACAAGCAAAGCCGGCTAAGCAGTGGGTGATTTCTGCTTCGACTCGAACGGCTTGGACTAAGCCAGGCCGCTGCTGAATCAAATCCGGGCCATCATCTGGCGACACACCCAGGATTCGGCAGCCTCATGAATTTCTTCGTGCTGCACATCACATCAAGCGCAACAGCAACTGGCCTTGCGACTGCTCTCCTCCCAACAGAACTATGATTTTGGTTTACGTGGCAACGGAAGCGCGACCAAGTTGCTATGCAAGGTTTGGCGGCCAGCTCGCCGATCTGCACGATTTCGCGAGTTTTCCTGCTCTTGGCTCGTGCTCTATACCATTTAAGCAGGTGTTTGCAAGCTGCCAGCCGTTCAGTCTTTCTTAGATTGGCTAAAGGCGCTATTTCTGAGCAGTGCTCCGATCTGGTTTGCTCATGTTTGGTATTGGCAGGATATCTCGATCTCGTTCGAGTTCAGTCATACATTGCTCGATATCGATTTAAGCGGTGCCACTAAGACGTTCCCCTAGCCGAGCGGAGACCAAAACTACTGCCGCCTTGGGACAAGTGTATTATAGCAAAAATAAAAGCCGTCGCTCAGGTATAGAGCGACTTGCTGGAAGTCCACCCGAAAACATGCAACGGTGTTATCAGCATCCAACTCTTGGGCTCGTATACGGCGTTCCCACTTTAATTTAGGCCAATTGCGAAGGTCTTCAACCAAGCAAGACGTGCAAGATCCGATTGGGCTTTTTCGGGTGCACGACTCGCGCGCAAATTAAAATAACGATCATCAAGTTCAAGGGCCCTTGTTGGATTCACTACATAAGAACCCCTGTAGGGAAAGGGAGTCCTGACTCTGATGCATCGCTATATGTACAAGGAGCACGCAGCATGTGCACGGTAAGGCGGCTCAAACAGCCCCTTCACTCCTGACTGTTGCAGGGATAACGTCTTTTCCGGTCAAGACATGAATTAAACTGTTACAGTTTGCACTTTCCACCCGTGGAGCCATCCGATGCATCGCACGACGGGATCACATGATCAAGATGATCCACCTTCTCCGGATCTTCCACGACCGACGAAGGCTTCTCGATGGATCGCCGACGAAGAACTGCAAGGCAAAACACAGGGACTGCCAAGAGCACGATCCCACCAGCCGCGAAGAAGGCTCCCTCGTATTGGCCACTGAAGTCATAGATCTTTCCGACAAAGCTGGGCCCAAGAAGCGAGCCGAATGCGATCCTCGGCCAACTGTTCGCTACGTGAACTGGAGCCTAAGGTTTCTTGCCACCCGATCTCAGTGCCATCGACTATAGTATGTACTTTCGAGCAGGTGGTTAGGAGAGGCGCTTAGCTTTCGGAAAGTATACTGTTCGAAGCTTTACGAAGCTGCCCAGGAACGGAATGCCACAAAGGCCGTAGAGGTGCGAAACTTTCTGTGGGTCGAAAATCTCGTTGAGAACCAAAGACAGCAGAACAACACGGCCTCCGGAAGAGAAGCCGTAAATGCCCGAGAAGGCCCTCAGCGCTGTGGCCTCGAAGGCTTGAGGAACGCAGAGAAAAGGCCGAAGCATAGTCGAGCAGCTGCACCCGCTCCGCCAAGAAGTGAAGTTAGCTCTGCCGAGATTTCTAGGCCCCTCTCCGTTTCAGCATAGTACACGAGATGCGTGTAGGGCACCATGAAGCCGATACAGTAGAGGAACAGAGCGGCGTTGACTAGCAAGAACTGCAAATCTCCGCAAGGCTGTACGAAGTCTCGGACATCACGGTAGCTCCTCAAGTCTCGACAGTTGGTGGTAGATTCTCTGGTCTGCTTTTGTTGATGGCGAAGACTGCACCAGAGAGTCACAACGGAGACAAACAGCAGTACGCCAAAAGCGGCACAGCAAATCCGCAGCACACCCCTCCAGCTGAAGCTGTCCAGCAGGAGGTCCAGGCCCACATTTACCACGACGGTTCCGAGGCCTCCGCCGGACGAAGCCAAACCTACAGCCACCGGCAGAAAGCTCGGACTGATATGGCCTGGACGGTACAGGACCGCCAGGGCGGGTGTGAAGATCATGGCCATGGATACCCCGCCAACCAAACTACGGGTTATGAAGAGGAAGTAGCTGGAGGGGGCATAGCTGTCTGCAAGCATGCCGAACAGAAGTAATGCCGCTCCACATGCTTGCATCCGCACGAAGCCGACGCGATGGACTAGGAATCCTGCTGGCGCATTGCTTAAGTGGAACACGAAGTCCCGAATCGAACCCACAAGTGCCAGAGTGCTGGCTGCATCGCCAGTATCTGCCTTCAGTGCAGCGAAAAGTGTACCATAGGAGTAGAAGAGCCCCACGACAACCACCTGCACGAGGAAGGAGGCCAAGACCAAGCAGGCTTGCTGCAAGCCAGAATGCAACGATCCGGCATTCTGAATCTCGGGCATGATGCCGGCAAATGTCCTGGAACCTCCCTAATTCTACTGTGAAAAACTTGAGACAGCGGAGGAAGGATCGCAAGTCGTTCGAGCGCGGCTGTCCGCTCGCCCTGAAACTCTTCGATGCCCGGCCAAATCTTACAGCCTAAGCGCCGCATATCACATGCCCGGAGGACGAACAGCTCAAGTGACGTTTGTGCAGCATGCGCTCCTTGCGTTGCACTGATGCAAATATCAATATGATTGTTGTTTCTGCACTCCTAACCATCTTAGCCATGTGCCCTGAATGGTGGGATTCTGTTCTGCATCCCGACCTAGCCCAATCGAACAAATAGATTTGTGAGCTCATGCCAACAGCCATCAGCGGAGTGCCTGAGTTCCGCTCGCAAATTGCACGTCGGATTTTGTGCTGGGAGGCTCCACGATGGAAGAGGTCCTTGGTTCTTGTCCACAGCGCACCACAGACACATGGAGGGGGCAGGGCTCAGGATGGATGCATGGCTTGTGCGGCGACCGAGCTGCACCTGCACCAGGTCCTTGCTGCCGGTCACTTCTGCCGCTGCCTGCGCATCCGTAAGATCTCTGACCTAGCTTCATCATGCCGTCACTGCATATGCAAAGACTCCAACTTGCGTGGATAAAACATACATAAGTACATCCATGTTTGTAGAACGATTGCGTTACGTGCATATCCATTAGAACGTCATAACAGAATTATGACTTGGAACATGGTCATGCGTTCATGTCTGCTCCTCTTCCATGTATGACGGTCTGGTCCGAGCCTTTTCTTCTGCATCCCGAGCTGGTCTGCGCAGCTTTTGGTGGACTTCTTGAATTTGGCACCTCATGGCTGCAAATCAAATCTTAAACAGCCACGAGGTTTAAATGCAAGACCACAATGCCGTTGTGACAAATCCAAAGGCGAACTGGTCGCATACATCTGTCTGATTGGGCATACATGGGAGTCTCTAGAGAGGGAGCGTCTCGCTCAGCTGTCTTTGGGCACGAGATTGCGCGCTGTCTGTCCACCGTCCACCACGACACCAGGCGTCCAAGCACCACAGAAGGTTTCATCACATTTCTGACTGCCACTTCTGTCCTGCCGTGGATGCCTGTTACCAGGACAGCGAAATGGCTGCAGTCCTTCACGATCCGCGTGGTTCTCGTGGCGACAGAACGGGAGTCTAGTACCATACTATCATCATACACCTGAATACTCTATTCTTGAAGAGTTAGTGAAGCTTGGGTAGCGATGCAACGAGCACCCCAGTTTGCAGCCGAATGCCACCAGGGAGCTCTTTCGATCTCAGCTGCTCCTCCTGGATCGGAGAATTCTTCTCGGTGGCTGAGAGGAACGATTAGGGTTTCGACGCTCACACTCGACAGGCAAGGCTCCACATAGTCTAGTGACTTTCCACTAGAAAGCAGTTTACGCTCTCGCAACTCTTCAGGGTTTTGGAAATCTTCAACAATCAGACATCACGTCTTGATCCACTTCTACTGCGCCAAAGCCTGGCAAGGTCAAAGAGACGCAATGACAAGGCTCTCCGAACCGACGCGCTTTCCTGACTGTCATAAGTGGCTGCTGGTCTATTGTTACTGGTATGAGAACACTTACGAATTCCATGCCGCTGGACTGCTCACGAATGAAACCTGCCACGCCTGAAGCTTCCGCTCACTCCACTGGTCAGCACGAGAACGCTCCTGCCAAGACGGGCTTTTTCTGGTACAGGGGCCGGCCCTAATTCAATCGTCAGGATGCTAGCTGATAGCACCACTCTCTTTGCCACTCCACCCGATCTCACGGGCTGGCCTCTTGTCGCTGAAGTTGGCTCTCGGATTTTTCCAGCAGGCGTGCTTTCCGAAGCTGCTGGTGCCATTGCCTCATGCGGGCAGTTCTACGCGGAGGAAACTTGGGCAACAAACGCGGCATCAACAAAAGCAGGCATCGGAATGAATCCGAGTAGCCGTTGCTGCAACCGCGTCTCCTCCACGATGCTCGGTCGGCGTCCCAAGCATCCGGCATCATAGTTCTCTATGCGTCGTTCCGCTGCTGCGCCTTGACGTGCGCCGTGACTGCGAGCCTCGCTCCGCTGGGAGGCCAGGCCCCAGCCGTCATCGGACTTTTCTTCCATGCTCTGCAGGTGTCTTCTGCCCTGCGGCTCCAAACTCCCTTGGGGCGCGCCGCTTTGTCCCAGCCGGATCTGTGACCTCTTGCCTCAGTGTTCGCACTCTCTCCTGCTCTCATCTCGATCCCTCGTCCTACGCCGCCACTTATGCACACACATGACCAATGGGAAATCGTAAGGGGCTCAGGTGGCCAGTCTCTGCAGACACCGTCTCGCCTCACAACACAAAAGCCTCTGCAAGTTCGCCTGCAGCCTAACTCTTTGTAGCTGACACCCCAACGAGAAGAAGGCGTCTGTTGACCGAAGTTGCTTGAACTTCGTCCATGCGAGGTTTGTGATTCCGGCAGAACGATCATGTACTGCATCGGCTGATCATAGATGCTTCCCTGGCAAATCAACGTGACTTTGCTGCAGTCGCAATGGTTCCTGCACCATCCCGTGCCTGAAGGATCCCCTTTTGCCTTTTACCGTTCTACTGATGGATGCCGCAGCCACTCCCGGTGCACACTTTTTCGAAGCGGGGTTGTCATGCTGAAGGGCAGCTGCAACCCGCCTTAGGGAGGGATCTCTCCATCGGATGGCAGCCAGCGGAGGGTGGAGAGGGGTGACCTTGACCCACACAAGGCTCGTACCTTGGATTGTCCCCATCACATGCCTTCCAGTATACAACGTCCACAATAGCATAGCAAGAGCCGCAGCTTCGAGGTATGACCCGAGCAGCTGAGGAGGTGCTGAGGATTCTGTAAGCACCTAGGCACCTACAGTAGGCCAGCTGAGGCTACTTGCAATTGCGTGCAGAAGTCGCCCGTGTAGAGAACGGTGATAGGCAGACAGACAAAATGTGTCCCGGCCCGTGAAATAAGCACAATTCTAATACTACTAGTATGACACATGCAAGCACGCGCCAGTCGTAGCTGCGAGAAAGCCGCATTGTCTCTTCCCGCTGTGTCAGAGCTGGGCATGTCGCGCGGCGACTTTGCTTTGGGCCGCGAAGCTGCCCGAAGTGTGGCGGAGGCGGCGGGAGGCTCTGAGGGAGGATCGGCGGCTGAGCGCACATGTCTTCATGGGCCAGAATCGACAGACCCTGCAGCTTCCTTTGAGATAAAGAGGCCTGCGGAAAAGTCGAACTCGTGCACTTCAGTGTAAAGATGTGCAGAGCATTGCATGAACCGTGTATGCAATCGTCCAGTAGAAAAAAGGCAGGCACTCGAACTGTGCAAGACACTCGAAATAGCACAGCCAGCCCGTCTTTCTGCCAGTCCTTGTTGATCTCCTCCCAGGTAGCTCCACCTGGCTTGAAATTGAAGAGGGAGGTTGCTTCAAGGCCTGATCTCAGCGAGCTCGGGCAGTGTCGATGCATTGCCGTCCTCTGCATTCCTCTGCAAATAGACCTTTTGCATCACTGGCCACCATTGCCTACCAAGATATCGCTAGGACGCGCGCAGTCGAGCGCTCCGGCCAAGTTGTTCATGTCTGCCACCTCACGAAGCCACTACTCCGTGCGGAAGAAGGCATGCATGTTCTAAAAGTTGCAGGCCTTTGGCTATTAGGAGCCATCACGTAGTGCAAAGGGCTTCCGGGACTCCGGAAGTAACGAAGGCAACTTGTCTTCTTGCTGTCGGGCTCTGAGGTCTCACTGACCCGGTCCATGCATCGGTTCGTTGAGCTGTTGTTGGCATCTGTAATTTGTTTTTCTCGGGGCCCCCTGGCATTTCGACAGAGCCTCTCCGACTCGGACAGCATGCTTATGCTGCAGTTCAGGAGCTCTGGGATCCCATCGTCGAATTGGAAAACAATTAAGGTGCTTGGGGCTACTTCCGGGACCTGTCCTTCAAATTACGGCGTCTTCCTGCGACCGTCTCTCAGATTCTGGATATTTTGTAGATCGGTTGTTCTGACTCCTCGGTTTCCTGGTTGCTCGTACCGGCTCCGTGTCTAATGACACCGGCCTCTTCTTTGGTGGCACCGTAAGGCGAGCAGTGACCTAGGCTTTTCGGAAGCTTGGCGAAGGGCCCTAAAGGGTCTAAGAGTCGAGGCCTACGCACTGGCTCGGTGCCTAGGCCTAGGCTTCACGGGCCTTGTTTCTGCAGGTCTTGGCTGTTTCGAAACCCGCCGAGAGGAAAAACCGTGACACGACACCGAGTAATGTATCATCCATCTAGTACGGCAGTTTTTGCGTTTGCCGATTTAGCGTTGAGATGCTTCAACAACGGGCTGCAAACAGACACTACACTCTACATGACTCCGAACATCCCTACAAACCTGATTGCAGGCATTGCTGTCGCAGCTCAAGGCTCACAGTGGAAAGCAAGCAGCACTCTATCCCAAAACCTGACCTCAGCTCTTACTTTCCATCCTGTAGCCTGAGCAAGCGTGCACACGCTCAGCGGAGCGTAGAATGTGAAGTAGCCGGCACCAGGCCAGGTCCTGCGCAGTCTCACGCTGGATGTGGGGCCTCGTAAGGGTCTCAGAGCCTCGTGCAAGTCTTTAAAGCAGGGCTCTATAAGTAGCCTGCCGAGCCCATGTCAGGACGGGAAGGCCAGCTAATAGAAGGTCAATTAAGAAAGCAGTTACATGAACAAGTCTACGACATCTTGTACAATGCGACACCGGCAGCATGTCTGCAGCAAAAGACTCTCCCATCTGAGCAGAGCCTGCAATGAACACGGCATTCATTGGAGGACTTGAAATTGCGAGGCGACCTTGGCATGGAGGGGACTTCTGGGCGTCGAGGTGAGTCTGCACCGAACACAGTCCGCCCGTGCTCAGGCGCATACTCGACTATCGTGGGATGGTAGGCAATGCCAGGCCTTGTCATAGTGTCAAGCGGACACCTCTCTACACGATGCTGTGCTAGGGAACAACACGACGCTGGGCAGACAATGGCAATAGTGACAAAGAGCACATCTCAATCTCATTTTTTTACATGACCGCTATCGCCCACTGAAGAAGTGATACTGTATAATATAATATAATATACCATTAGATAACAGAGTATAACAGAATATAATGTGATATAACATGAAAAGCCAGGCCAAGGCCTTGCACAGTCGTCCATCTCCACCTGCACCTTCTTGATCTGCGAACCTTCGACAGCTTGGGCAAGACTCAAAACCGAGGGCACATGCATGAAAACTGAAGGCCAGCTCGAATCGCTGCAGAAAACCTAAACGCTTCCAAACTGTGTGGTCAACTGCCCACGCAAGTAACACTACACCCTTCTTCCAGGCTCAACCACTGCCGTCAGCTCAGCCACCGAGCCAGCAGACGTGTCCCAGGACCTATGCCGGTGACTTTTGTCTCTCAACTGATCTCTCTCACCATGAAGACCACCCGAATCACCCCGATATTGCCGCCAGAGATGACCAGATTCAGAACCACCATGCTTCTCGAAAACCACCATCAATGATCGCCAACATTGCTTGTGGCAAGGTATTGTAGGACTGCTTTGGGCGAAGACTTATAGTCTTCGCCCAAAGCAGTCCTGCAATACTGAGGCGCTCAGTCGGGAAATAGAAAGATGCTGCCGCGTTGGTTTGTCTCGAGCACCAGGCACACGGAGAATTTGGGGACTCCATCATCCGTAACTATCAATTCGCAACCGCCTCAGCATATCTCCTCCGCTGAAACTCCAGCATGATTTCAGACTCGGTCTTCAGCAGCTGTTTCATCACATCCACTTCGGACTCACCGTTGACCGAGCAGATCTGGTCCTCCTTCACCACCCCCCTGCCTAACCCTTAGATCATCTTAGATCCCTTAAGGGGCCCGTAAAGGAACCCTAAACCCTAAGGTAACAGAGCGAGGAAGGAGCCCGTCGGAGCATCGATTCATTGTGCCGCAAGGCCTCCCTTCACAGAGTTTGGTCTACGGAGAGCTGGCCGTTCTTCGCGCTTCCCCACGTGTCTCAAGAAGCTTCAAGCCAATCTTGGTGTCGGGGCCGTTTCCATAGAAGACCACTTCTTCCTCCCTTGTCCGAGGGTGCTCCTGCACGCTCCTGCCTTGTCGTCGAAAAGGAAATCGGCCACCGGCAAAAAAATCAGTCGCCAGATCCCGCCTGGTCTGATGGAACCAGAACAACGATTTTCCTGTTGTAAACTCGCGGCATCTTCCTACCGGCGCCCTTCATTGAAGGGTGCCGGCAGGAAGGTGCCGCGAGTTGAATGGCGGAAGCCTTCAAGAAACAGTCCATCGGCGGGTCCGCTCTTGACCTCAGAATGGGTAGCACACACCTTCCTATTGAGACTGCAGGGTCCGCGAGGCTGATCTTGCCGTTATGACGGCTGCCTGCATGGATGGGGTAGGACACTCCTTCTGCGAAGTATCCCAACTCAGCCGTTAACAGGACGACCATCATCCAGATCCGGATCACTTCTTAACACGGTGCAGAGTGGAGAACCTGCAGTTGAGTCTCCCGCGCCGAACATCCGGTTCTTTCGAACAGGAGGTCAGAACAAGCAACAAGACGATGTTGCAGATGTAGTAACTGCCGTGTTTGCCGCCTATTACGAGGCAGTAAACGGCAAACACGGCCGTCCTGACTGGGGCCAAGGGCATCTCGAACTCATCTTCGACTGCATGGCGGATAACATTTCTGGGCATTCCAGAGTCCCGAACCTCCAGGGTGGTGGGCAGCATCGAAACACCTTCGAAGTGTCTACCGGCCGCCATGCCTGATGAGAGCTACGCTTCCCTTTAAGCAAACCTGGTCCTCGCTGCCCTGAGCTGGCTTTAAGGCTTTTCCACTCGCCCAGAATGCATCCGGTCTGATGAGCAGTGTCAAGACGTATGTAGCAGACTTCCGATCACGTGACTGGCCTCGGTTTGCAATCGTTTACCAAGAAGATGCCATCGTGTGCTGCGCTATGACATTGCGTAGCACATGGTCTCATCTTCCTGGCACTTAGGCGCAGATCGCATCGAAAGTCTGTCCCTGCACCTCTCCGATGATGCACCAGTTGAGGTGAAGCAGAAGTATAGGGCAGAGTCGAGCTTATGTATGGCAGTGTGAACAACGCTGGCGTTGACTTCGATCATTCAATGCAGAGGACCCTGGACGTGCATACATACGGGGCTGCGAGAGTCTGGCTTTCTTGCCTATGCTTCAAAAAGACGGGCGTATTATTGTGAAGGCAGCTTCTGCATCGGGACCCAATGATGTGTCCGGTTTCTCGCGCACGTTTGGGGCTTGGACTCTCACAGCCCTGACACTGAAGGCAGTGCTGCTATCGTTCTCGAGAGACTGTGGAATTCACGCGAGCCACCAGATGCGGCATTGCCAAGCAACCGTGTTCGAGCTTAGGAGCTTCAGCAACTCTAAGATTCTATGCGCACGGGTGGCAGCACATGCAACAACAAAGCCTGCAAGCTAAGTGCCCGACGATCCTTCTGAGTCTGGATCAAAGTCTCCCTTGGTCGTTGGCTGTGGCGGGCGCGCTGGAGCAATCATACCTATGTACGTACGTACGCACGTCCATCTATCCATCCATCCATCCGTCCATCCATCCATACATGCGTTCTTCAATCTACCCACGCATGCATGCATGCATGCATGCATGCACCCCACCATTCATCCCTACACTTGATATGCCTAATTATACATGTCCGCAGACACACCCATGTACATGGTGTCTATATACATACATATACATGTGATTTGCAGTCAGCACATGCATATACGTAAGATGTGCGGGCTGGCGCAAGCATGTGTATGTGCGTGAACGTGTGTGCATGCACATGAGTTTACATACATAGACATAGCTTTGCCCCTTCGTTAGCTGAGGTGACAACATGTACATGTATACATATGCTATACATATGTCTGTATGCATGGCTGTATCTAATCATATGCGCTATGGCATATCTACAGGTTGACATGCGCAGCACGCGTTGGCGGTTCGTGGTGGGCTGGTTGCATAATGAAGGAAATGCAAATGCGACGATGCATCACATCTGTCTGCACACGCAAAAGACAGCCGAAGTCTAGTCAAGAAGTCAAGCCACAACCTGGCAACATCCTCCTCCGGGGTCTGCTCCTCATCCTGCCACAGCTTAAGTGCGTACACGCACACAGATAGGCACGTCCAGACGCAGAAGCTGCAAAGAAGTCCATCTGACGAAACCCGAGGTCAGCCACATGTCTGGATTGCAGAGTAGACCATTCACTATTCTACACAATGTTCAAGAAGTATATGCCTGCGGTGTCCTAGCCCTCATGCGAAGGCCGCTCCTCGCCGCTGTCCTCATGTCTATGCTCAGAGCCTGGGCTGCTGAATTGACATTTAACCGCCAAGTTCTTCTACTTGCTGATTTGGGTCCGATTTGGGACGTAGCGGAATGTAGCGGATCTAGGCCACGGGAAGACAACAAACGCGCCACCAACATCCAGGCTATGACAGCCACTAAAGAACAGAGTGTTTGATTTGTCTTGCAGGCTAAATACATCCTTATGTCAATGTGAAGGTAAGTATGCAGAAAAAAGGCATCAGGGCACCAGGGACAGACGGGCAGGCGGGCGAACTCATTCCCGAGCTGTACTATTTCTCCAAAGCCAGATCCTCATCACCAGCATTATCGCTCACAGCTCCCACAGTTGTTTCCATGAGACACCCGGCCTTTGGCTGGAACTTCTTCAAACTCTTTGCTCTCTTCGCCGTCCTTCCGGGGAGCAGGAATCGAGATCCTTCAAGGTCGTACTGCCAAGGGTGCTATAAGCCAACTCCGCCTACGATTACCGCCGAGAAAGCTCTGGCAAAATGCCTTGAAGTCGTCCTTCTCCTCTTTGTCTGGGTCATAGGGCACCTAGCACGGAAAGTCAAGAGACTCGGGACGTCGGAGCTTCTAAGAAAAGCTTCAAAGCGGCATATGCTGGGGTTTTTTGGCAGACGCCTGTCTGTTTTGTATGAAGTCTTGTTTGTCAGTTGAGTGTTGTCTGCCTGCGTTAATCAGCTGGTCGGATCATAGACAAAAGCTGTCTGGAGCGATAAGACCGCATCCTACACGCTCGTACCAGCACACTTTACTCTATACTGTGTGCAGTTCCGAACAGGATCATCTCGGTGTGGTCGGGAAAAGCCACGCGGTCAAGGGGACCGGAGCACTCTTAGCAAAGCAAGTGGTCAGGGGCAGGCCAGGTTGTTACTTGATGAAGGAGACCTTTGCTGATCAAGATCTCGCAGCTCCAAGCGAAACTTTGTTCGCAACGTCCCAAAGCGGGTTTATGTCTTAATGTTGCAAATGCATGTGGTGACGCAAGCTCGACCAGAAGAAGCCGCATCCTGATTCAGTTCAACTGCAGGAGAGACCCGAACCATTCACAGCATCAATCTAGCTCTCCAGGAAGAAGCTCTTCTAAATCGAGACCCTGATGTCCAAGCTCTTCTGCAAGCGAGTCACCAATTGGGAGTATGTATTTCGCAACTCGAAGTCTGAATTACCCATTTACCCGCAGCCTATCTCAACGGTCGCTGGCTAGGTCGCTGGCTGTGAAAACACTTGAAGCAGCTTCATCGCTTCGTAAAGCATGCACGTCATGAAAGTGGCTATTGCTGAGCGGCATCTTCCAACTACTCTCTTATGTTGACTAGTGACATGAGTCATGGAGTAGCTTCGGCAACTCAGGATCGGACATAGTGGCCTTTGGGCTCGTCCTTGTCGCCTTTTTCACTGGCAGAATAACGATTTTGACTCGGAAACTCTTGCCAGCATCCACACGCCATGCCGACACGAGGTTTTGTTGTTCAGCTATCAGATGGGCCCTTAAGTTGCCGGTTGCTCTTGTCGCTCGCCTTCGGGTCTTGGGACTGCTTGAGTTTTGTGGGTTTGAGCATGTGGTGCTTCTTTCACCTGTCATGCGGGCTTAGGGCGATGCAAGGACGAGGGCAGCCAGGCTGGCCGTGCACATACAGCACCAAAGCGATGTCCTGTGTCATCACAGGTGCTGGGTTAACAAAACAGGTGACTGTCTTTCCGGTACCACATCAAACTGTTTTTTGACGTTAAAAAACACATCATGCAAAGAAACGATGAGAGGAGGATGGGTGGATTGCAACATTTTACTAGCTCTGGAGTAACTGCAAACAGGCAGACCGGCGCAGGGTGTAAAAGCCGGGAGTCGGCCTCAACGACCCGAACAAAAACAAGCACTGAGCACAAAACATGATGTACCAATATTACCAATACTCTTTTGGAGGTTACTTATTATGGTTACAGCATAATAAGCCCAGGGAAACCCCATTGTTCTATTAAGGCCACTACATCATCGCACCCTTCTTGTATCCTTTATATAGATCCCTCTACAGGAGCCCGTATTCCATTAAGGCTCCTACACTACATTACTTGAGATTGCAGCCGGCCAGGCTCTTTTCTGGTTGTTGCTGTCCGAGGAATACTTCTGGCGACATGCACGTTGGCTCGGCTACATGTACAAAACATATGTACACTCATAATATTACTTTTGTAAAAAAATACTTTTTGCCTCTTGCTGGCTGATGATTCGCGATCCAAGGTGAATATTATATTTATACCAGGCCTGCTTACGTTCGATGAATGACCAGGGCGCGCCCTGGGGAGGCTCAAAAGCTACTACCGTGGCTGCCCGGTATTGAATGAGCCTGAATGAGCCCTGTGCCCTGTCCTTCCAATTTGCACCTTGGCGAAGCTCGGGATACCATTCAGGATTCTCCTCCTCGGGTCATGGCGGTCGCCGATTTCGGCGAAGGTCGGCTCAGGGCTTGTTTCCGCTGCGCTCTTCATCAATTCCGCTGCGAGGACCGTCCAAAGTTGGGAAGGCTTCTGCACGGTGCCAAATATAACTCCAGAAAAAGGGTTTTGGAGTCCTCTCTTTCTTCTCAATCTCGAGCTGGGGGGTCCTCCCTTTTTTTGGATCTGGGGCTCAAGCTTGAGATCTCTTATGCTGAGGCAGTTCCAGTTCGGGGTTTTCAGCTTGACTGGGTTATTGACTCATTTTGACACCTTTTCAATCCTGAAGCTATGACAGCTATGAGCTTTTTAAACAAGCCTAAACCGTCGTGCTGGGCGAGCTTGAGGCTTGAGGCAAGCACGAGCCCATGCTCGGCAGCCCATGCCACGTCATTTCGGCACCTTAGTTGGCTGGACACAATACGGGCATCCACAGCGCAGCATTGACTGCTTCTGATCACAGGGCCAGTCTTTTAGGAGGCCTAGGGGCTTTGCAGTCTCACAGGCACACTGAAGCCATGCCAAAGACAAGCCATTCTTTCTCGTGAGATCTCGTTGCACAATCCTTGTCCTCGCATCGAGCCAGGGAGTTCCTCACACCAGTCTTTCTACCCGGTGTGCTCGGGGTTACGGCACGCTTGCAGCTGCTTGGTGCTTACTGGGCTTTATCTATGAGGCTGTCGGACCGGCCTGGGGCCTTGCTCTCTCGCTTGTCTTCCTCACGGGGACTACAGTGCTACTACAGAAGGAGTTCCCCGAAAAAGCCATGGATATGGCACAAGCGTCTTCGACCATCATGTGCCGAACGGCGGACGGGAACCACAACTACAAGGAAAATTCGCTGTCGCTGCTGAAAATCTAGACTCTGAGTCCAGAGGTGTGCAGGCAGCAGAAAATTGCGACATGGCTTAACATGTCTCTGTACACTCTGGCCATCTTGGATGCCATGGTGTGGATCTTATGCAAGCCATTCTACAGGCGACCTTAACACTACTTACAGCTGCATGCCGGGCCGCTTGCACTTCTCACGTAGCATCTAGCTCATTGCAAGCTGATCTTCCAACGACTGCATGTCTTCATACTCCTTTTCCTGAGATTGATGGCGGGCGATCAACAGAACGGTGTAGACATCTTGATACGGTGCGACCGAGATGTGTAGTCTTGCTTGTTTGCCGGGACTCGACATTTGCGTTGGCAGCTTCATAGGCTGCCACCGTCTCCTGACACATGCAAGTTCACGTGCGGTAGGCTGCAGTACAACATCTTCGGACCATACTTTAGAAACTGATCCGTCGGAGCCTGCGGCCGATGCACCGCAACTCTTCCAAGCGGATTCAAATTACAAAATCACACATCGACAGCGAAGTCTGTTTCGGAAATGCAAAGGCATGATCAATCATGCTCACTATGCGTCATGTTGCTTGTGAAACACCAATTGCTCGCAAGGAATCAAGGGAACGATTCTGGGGGCATATTGCTTTGGCAAATTGCCTTGGAATGCTCAGACACTCTTATCTTCTGCTTGGCAGAACAAGAACACGTAACGGTCCTCGTTGTACTCGGCATTCATAGCATCTGCCGCCTGTTAAGATACAATCACTGGAAGATGTGAGTCCAAGCATGCATGGGATGTTTCTGAAATCACAGTCTTTCAATACACCCAAACTAACGCTGCATGAAACGTCCTTGGCAATCCATGTGTCTTTTACTGCCTGCAATGATACCAAATAACATACCGGGAAGAAGCCGACGTGTTTGGTCAGAAGAGTGAACGTCACGCTGCGTGCATGTTAAGCTGCTAAACACGCATACACACATTTGCTCGCTGCGGCTCCGATTCGTACACCGGCTCCCAAATGACAAGCGCTCCAACACGCCTCATGCGTCCATACAGCAACCAGATGAGGATAACCAGTTCGCACATTCCCTTCATACCCTTCAATCAATTCAGTCGACTTCCCCCGAGAATTGAGTCGCGGCCTCTTGCAGCAGACCTTCTGCGTGCTCAATCCTGCGCATGACCTCACAGGATTCAGGCTGCGTAGTTAGCGCGTTGAAGACGACGACTCAGGCTCAAGCACTGGAAATCTTCCTTTTCAGCTTGGCCTCAGTTTGTATCGGCCCCTGCTCGTGAAGTTCTGCTCGTGATTACTCATGACGCATATCTGACACACATTCGAACACTTGTTCTGGTCTGGCCATGTCGCGTCAGGCAAGTTCCAAATCCACTGAGTGCCGGTCTTTGTCAGCAGAAGGCTTGGGCACAGCCTTGGCGGGACCTGCATTTACTACCAGCACCAACAGCCTAGGCTCCGTTTCCGCTTGATCCGCGCCTGGAGTTTCTGCAGCCACATGGGCCGATGCACCGGCCGGCGCCGAAGGAGCTGCACCAACAGCGCCGAAGTCACGCCTTCTCTCACCCGTGTTCGTTTGCGTCGAGACACCATGACCAGTCATGACCGCAAGGTCGTGTTGGACACGGAAGCGACAAGGCGGCTAATGCTGCAGCCGGCAACGGAGCTGCATCCAAGCGACGCAACAGGTGCATGGATGACCTCATGTAAACAATGTAACCGTACAGCGACCGGCTCACAATCCTAGCCTTCCCGCTTCTAAGAACTTCGTGCTTGCAGACTCGGACTACATGTGGGAGTTTCCGAAAATAGGGGACCCTAATATAGTACCCTAATATAGTGGGATCCTTACATAATAAGGACCCTGAAACAAGGTACCCCTAATTTTCGGAAACTCCCATGTTGCATCATCTTGCCTGACAAGGGAAGCTGGGGACTGCAAGACTCGGCAATGCAAAGGTGCAGATACCAGCTGAGAAGCTCCGAACGAAGGCTTAATCTAGGGCCCTTAATAATTAAGAGAGGGTTTTTTGGGGCCCATTACACCATAGCTATAATAAGAAACCCAAAATAGTTAGTATATTGGTAATTCTTGAGGCCCCTATACTAAATTCTGGATGCGACGGGGTCACCTTCAAGTGACCTGGCTCGCCGACTTCGGCTCTCGCGATATGCACCTGAACCAAGCATTCCCAATTCTGTCTTTCGACATGCACATCAGCTCTTGAGTAGACTCCCGGACTGTACGAACAGACACACTTGCGATCTTCGTGCACCCCTGGAAGCACTCTGGACATCCGCAGAACAGAAATTCCCGGTCACAAGTACTACCTGCATCTACACCGCGTGCTAGGCTTTCTAGATGCAGCCTGCTCAACTTGACCTGGGGACAGGAATGCAGCCTGCCTGATCCGTCACACGCAGTGCTTCGAGGAAGGCTTTGTCATGGGATGAAACCAATACCTTGGCTGCGCAGGTAGTCAGGCTTCCTTGGGTCCGGACAAAACCCTCTCAACGCTTGCAGCCACAGTGGATTGTCAGCTCCAGCAGGCGGGAAAGGCAGAAAATACACTCCAAGCTCTTAGGCAACGCAAGAGCTTTAGTCTATAGTCTATGTAAAGGTGGTCATGGCCGTCGGAATGCATCTCTCCGTTTCTCGCTTTGGCATAAGCTCCACCGGCATGAACTCCAATGTGGAAGCCGCACGTACCCCTCCCACCACCCCCATTGTCCAAGCTAGCAGTCTGCCACCGCATCATCTTAAATTTACCCTCGTTTAAGCACGAGACTTCTCCTCCTGCACTCCACTCGTTCCTTCTGCCTTGAAAGGGTGTGTGGGTGTGGGTGTGGGTGTGTGTGTGTGTGTCTCTGTGCGTGGAAGCAGCTGGAGGCCTCCTTGAGCCGTCAATTCGAGGCAAATGCAGCCAAACTCTTCGGTTCAGCCAACGGATACCTGATAAACTGCCTGAGCCCTGCCCTGAAACCTCAAAGCCGAAACTCTCGAAACCTGCGCCCTGGAAGGCAAAAAGACCTCGCCCAGCTGCGGCCCCTCCATGCTCGCGCAGTCCAGCACACAAGGAGGCGACGGCAGCCCCATCCAGGTGGTTCGTCGGCTCGTCCTGCTTTAGACCACACTCATGACTTAATAAAACATTACATGGTCGATGATGCCAGCAACCACCGGCGGTGGTAGCGAAGTGGCGGTGGTGATGGTGGCGGCGACGGCAGTCCAGGGTTTCTGCTGGTGTTTGAGGGCTGTGCTTTTTGTTGTCCACGGCATCGAAGGATGATACCTACCTGCACAAATCTGTTTCTCTCACCCTTGGTGGTGGTGCAGGTGGTGGAGGTGGTGGAGGTGGTGGAGGTGGTGGAGGTGGTGGAGGTGGTGGAGGTGGTGGTGGTGGTGGAGGTGGAGGTGGTGGTGGGAGTGGTGGGAGTGGTGGGGGTAGGGGTAGTAGTAGTAGTAGTAGTAGTAGTAGTAGTAGTAGGAGGAGGAGGAGGAGGAGTACGAGGAGTAGTAGTATAGTAGTCGTCGTCGTAGTGGTAGCGGTAGGAATGGATTATCGGCCAATACAAAAAATGTCCACCTCAGCGATACCAGCAGAAGTAGCGAAGGCAGGAGCAGTACCACCAACAGCAGCGCTTACTAGTTCCCGCATCGTTGTTGATGTTCGCCTTGCTGTTGTTCTGATGTTGTGAAACTGGTACTATCGTTGTTGTTGTTGTTGTTGTTGTTGTTGTTGTTGTTGTTGTTGTCGTTAAGCCTCTCGGCTCAGGAAAGGTCAGGCTAGTACAGTTGCCTTTTTCCTTTCTTGCCATGGCATTTGTCAGCGCCTGAGCAGTCCCGGTCCCAAGTCCGGGAGGGAGTATTAGATCTACAGCTCTCTAACATCTCCCAGAGGTGAGGGTTGTCGGTATTGCGAAGCCGACAGGAGCCGTACTCAACATGAGTGCTGCGAAACAGCCTAGTGGTTCGACCAAGCATCAGCCCGTTCCTAAAGGGAAGGGTAAGCGCTCTTATCAAAGGGCAGCACGTAAAGCTCTGCTTGAAGGTAGTGCGGTCTACAAGGGACGGACGATGTCGCCAAAAGAGCTTGGAGCTGCTCCGGCACATGCAAAGTCCACCAATCCCGGCAGAAGGACACGGCCTTCGAAATTCACAGAAGATAAGAATCTCAGCTATTTATCTTGGAACGCAGGATCTCTCACAACAGCAGTTTGGGAAGAGTTACTCTCCGTGCTGCAAAGTGCCGCATTTCAGGATGTGAAGCTAGTAGCGATTCAGGAAACACACTGGAGGGGCTCTTGGCAATTCAGCAAGTCAGGCTGGCATGTGATCAGCTCTGGCTCCACAGGGGAGAAGGGAGCCGGGGTTCTCATAATGGTGCACTCCACGCTGTGCAAGTCACAGGATCTTCGCTACAACGAGGTAGTACCAGGACGAGTTCTCCAGGTCCGGGTGCCGAGCAAAGGCATCTCACTGGATGTCTTCAGCTGTTATCAATACGTTTGGCGCTCTAAGGAGACAGTCGCTCAGAATAAGGAGAC